CAGGGACCCTCAGGACTATCAGACCGCCCCTTGGGAACTGTTAATTTACAACAAAACAACAAGCATGCCAGAGGAAGTCAGAAAACCAACCCTCACAGTTGTGCGAACAATGAAGCCAAATAGGGAGAGGGTGGTGGTTCTATATCCTTCTCATATGGAGTCAAGTTCATTAGTTCTGAGCCAGTTATTTTCATCATTGCTTATGGTCAGATGGTTTATTTTTGGTTGTTTTATTTTTAAAGAGTTTTTATTTTATTTCTGTTTTATTTTTTGTTTACATTGGTTTATTTTTTAAAGTAGACCCTTCATAGGTCCTAGACCTCAGCAAATTGCATCCTCTTATTTTTTTATTACAATAACAGAGACCATGACAAGAAAGACACTGGACACCTCTAAATGCATAAAGTTATTTATTTAAGTATACATTTAATTTTGAAAAATATAAATGCTAAAATATCTCATCTTCTTCATCTCTTGATTCCATAAAAGTCACAAATAGAAAGCTTCATAAAACTGTAAAATACTATAATGTTATAGGAATTTCATGTTTTATATTGGAAAAAATTATCATTAGTATATTGAAATGTTTTCTGCTCTGTTTTTTTTTTCAATTTGTTCCAGCACGTTGATCTACTTCATTTAAAATAAAAAGAAGCATCATTTCTCCAAAGCTAATAAAGACTTTTAAGAGAATAAAAATAAGAGTATCTGAAAGTGCGTATCGATTCCAAAGTCATGTGTATGGAGATGCATTAGCCAAGAAAATGGCTAGAAAGGTGAAAAAAAGTGGCAAGGATTCATTCACCCTTTTCACATTGTAGGTCTGGGACAAAGTTATTTCTGGCTCTTAAAGGTTGACTGGATGACGTTAGCCCTGAGTTTGCATCTCTTTGCAATATTTGCCAAGGAAGGAAGTATCAGAAGCTTGCATTTTGATGTGCTCCCACAGAGTACAAAGTAATGAGCTGAGAAATAAACCATATCCCAAATTTCTGGTCCAAGCATATTTGGACTGGCTAGCATATATTGCATAAGTTGTTTTTTTTCCCCCTAATGTCAAGGCTGAAACAAAGTACAATGAATTTCTAGATCTGAAAAATCCCAAGGTTCTCCTGATAGTCAAATGCCATAGAAGATACCACTGGGTGGTTTCCAATCACCTGGAGCCACCAGGTTTTCCATTCTTGCTGTCATGAGCTAATGTCAAAAATATCTGGTAATGTAAGAAAAATCCCAGGCTCCAGCAACAAAGGAATTGATTGAGTTGTGTGAAGAGAAATCCAGAAATCTTTGTCCCATCCCCAAACAATGCCAACCTCTGCATAAGAGAGCAAATATGTCTCTTTTTAAACATAGAATTCAGCAGTCAATACATTTCAAGTACTTAAACATGGTTCAAACTCCCTGGAAGACTAGGTTTTTCTGGATATTGATCACAAGCTAACTGCCAATAAAATACTTATTCTCTAAGTGTTGGTGTATTGCATGGACATATGTATGTATATATGTATGTTGTACACACATGTATAAACATGTATACTCTTAGAACTATATCTAATAGCCAATGCATTGAAGTCAGGCTGTTGGGTTTCCCTCCTCTTCCTTCAACCCCAATAAAAAAAACTTGTTTCTCATTTCTTTCTTCACAAATAGAATGGTATGAGTGTATGTCCATCCTCCTTTTTCCCCAGTTGCTTACAATGAGAAGAGAGTAGGGCAGAACAAGCAGAATATCAGGATTTAAAGTATACTTTATGATGAATCTGATTTTCAAGCAATGTCTTTTGCTAAGAAATGGGTACAAAGCCAGATATGTCAGGTGTGACTGCCTTTCTCCCTACAACGCAATGATGCGTCTGTCACAAAAGTCCTTGGCTTATTTACATTTATCTGGCATCTCACTAATAAACACTTTTAATCCACTCACTGTCTGGTATTTGCTTCTAGCAACTCGAATCTTCTAGTGCTCATTCGACTTCCAGTGGTGCTAGACATTGTAAGAAGAATTGGGTTTCATCACATAAGCTCACTAAGGCTGTGTCAAACCAATAACATGACAGCTGAGCAATCTGCTACATTTACTAAAACAAATTATTCAGTAAAAGCACAAAACAGCTCTGCATGTATAGACGTAGCCTCCTTCATACATAGTGACCCCTTCTTTAAAAATAATCACTTTAAAATTTGTTTTAAGGGGTATCAAGATGATGAAAGGGTTGGATCTTAATCTTTTCCCTAGGAAATGAAAGTGGAGTATTCTCTTTTTATATCATCTATGCCAGCTTTCTTCTTATTAAAAATCAATTTTAGTATCTAATTATAGGCATATAGTACAAACAGTCTTTGCCATTAAAGATGCGGAAGACACATGTAAATCTATTTCAATGGCTGGAATTTCACATATGCCAATGGTGTCTTTCCAACATTTTGGAATTCTCTGAAAGAACTAAAGATGGTTTCCAGTCTAGAAGGCTAGATTATAGATTCCAGGAGAGCAGGGACCAAACCTTCTTTAAACTTTGAATTTCTCCCAGCACCTAACTTAGAGGTCTGGTCACAGCAGGGTACTTTGTTTAATTGAACTGATGGTCAAAGAAGGCCACATTCTTATAATCCAGATTGCTTAAAAAGCAAGGATCATTAATGTATCAAAAGTTTCTTATGGGTGATTTATTTCAAACATTTAACTGAATGTTTCCTTCAATGAGATAGGGGAGAAGATGTTTTCAGACGTTGCGGGGAGGGAGAGGAACCTAGATAAATATATTTAATTAGTGGTTGTAAAAGTAGTGATCATTTTAAATGTGCAGCCAAAATTCAACATGTGAGGTCTCAGCACCATAAAAAGGTACTATCTCCATTAATTTTAAAAATGAAACCCTTAGAGGCCATAACTAAATCCATATTTTACATTGGATTCCACTGTTAAAGCTATTTGGTACTAGAAAGAAAGGTAGCAATATCTCAGGGTGAGAGCTGTTCTGAATGGTCTTTTCACAACCTGTGTTTTTCAAAAAAGATTCCCATGGGACAGACTTCCTAGACAGGTTTATGATACTGGAATGAGACCCACAATGCCACAGGTTATCACAGAACTAAAGCCAGTGGTTTCCTTCTGGTCCAATCTTCCCCTCCCTGTTTATTACAGTGTGTATGCATCACAAATGTGGTTATATGACTCAGATTGTAGACATTTAAAACTGTTATGTCTAATGCACATTCACGATATATAATGCAACCTATTAAAATGATATGCTTAAAATGCCATGCTAAATTTGGTGACTAAATGCCCAATCTGCATTATGCTGTGTTAATTTAGAAACATATATACAAAACCCAACTTTAAAAAGATTCCAATCACAAATGATATTCATCTCACTCTTTGAAAAAAATCCAAAACAGTGTATATGTACAGTGTATGGGTAGCTACACCTATAAACTTGCAGATCAGCTCATGTAGGCATGGTAACCAGTATATTCCCATAGACTTTTCATGGGCCTTATGAAATATCCCATCAGTAATGGTGACAAGTAACTGGGAAATAAAGTACATCTGTCCACATGGGCCAGAAAGAGGCCACTCACTCCAACTCTTGAATAGTTTTGTCAATTATGAGTCAGACTCATGTTTTATGGAAACTGATACATAAGGCTCAGTAACTCATTCACTTGCCAACATTCTTTCTCTTTCTATCTTTGCATGCAGGTTTGGCTACATGCAGAGTACATCCATGAACATACATAAAAACACGAGGGTTTTCATGTGAAAGAATTCTAAAAAAAATACTGCATAGGAAATCAACATGAGAATACACTCACATCTGTGAACTATTACCAGTCAGTACATTATTAATTGCCATTACATTTACTATATTTTAAAACCACAAAGTAGTTAACTGCCCCCACCTCCCGTCTCCTTCACAGAACTTTAAAAAAAAAGAAAAGAAGAAAGAGATGAAAATAAAAATTGATGTTTTAGAAACAGGGTGCTTATTATCAAATCCAGCCCCATGACTTGTCCTGGAGATTGTGTGCGTGTGTGTGTTTATGTGTACAAAAATCACATTATTTACAATACACTTTTTTTTACAGAAAGCCTGGCAGCTACATATAAGAGGTAGAACTACTCAAAACTATGTTTCCTGCTGCAGGAAAAAATTCATTTTCTTTACAGTAATTTTAAAAAAAAAGTTTAAAAAATTGACAAACAAAATAAGTTGCAGGTTAGGCCCCCATAATTTAAACAACAAAATCTAGGAAGAAAAATATTCTTCAAAAGACTCAACAGATAAGCCCATTACAGGGTTAAAAAAAAAAAAGGTTGCATAGGAAATGGGACTTCCAAAACGTGCTACAATAATGGCCAGAGTATCTCTGTGCAGGGAGTGAAATTAGTACCTTTAGCTCACCTTCTTTTCAGACTACTAGGGAAGAGTTCAAGAGCATGGGCTAGTTAGGATAGCAGCATTTTTTTAGGTGTGGGAATCTATGTCAGCAAAGACACTGAATTCCTTTGAAGGTCAGTGAGGCTTGGCTCAACCAGTCAGAAGAACAAGCAAGCAAAAATACGTCCCTATTAAAATTGTCAGTCATCTTGATGCTTTAGTAAAAGTTGGTACAAAATCCTTTTTTTAAAAAAATAACACATTTGCAGCTCTTACAAAAAGGAAAAGAATGGTGGTGGTGGTGGTGGTAGTGGTGGTGGGGTGTGTGTGTGTGTGTGTGTGTGTGTGTGTGTGTGTGTGTGTGTGTGTGAGAATCAGGTGGGTGGGAAAAAAAAACTACCAAAAAATATAGGAGAGAGAACAGGAAAATTCTTCCACAAAAATTCATCATCTAAAGACTCGCTCTTGTCTCATTATCCCTACACAGGACAGAAGCAGAGGGCACTGGGATATTTGGCTAGTGACAAAAAACAAAACCAAACTGAAGAAAACATCATTTTCCACACCAAGAAAACGATTCAGTGTTAAGAGACAAACAGTTACAACGTAGTTTCTGTTCCCTTGCTCCTCCAGAAATAACCATCATCTTCAGGTTCCAGTTCTATTAGAATTTGAGGCACAACTTTGACTGGAGTTCGAGGAGGGCTAAATGGAAACCAACGACAACAGACGAGAAGTGTAAGTGACCCATCACCTTCCCTACACACGCGTTGAGCATTCAAGAGAAGACAGCACCTGCCACCTCCAATTTCAGATATTCTCCCACTGTTGAATCCCTTTGGAGTAATTATGACTTTCTTGGGGATGAAGCTTGACCAGATGGCAGTGAACTCAGGGAGAATCCTGAAAAGTGAGGCATTCTCACTGCCACAGAGACTAAAGAGAAACACCCAGCAGAAACACAGCTGGCACTGGAATCCCTCAGCATAGATTTCCACCATTTGAACTATCTAGAAAGATGGGAAGTGCCCTGAGCTTTGTTAGGTCAAATCAACAGGCTTTTATTAAAAACTTACCATGTGCCAGGCACTGTGCTAAGCATTGGGAATACAAAGTGATTTCAGAGAGTTTACACTCTACTGGGGGAAGATTACATATAAGAGTAATCTGAGAGAGAGTAGGGGGAGGTGAAGCCAATGGAATGGTGTCATCCATCAGTGAGTGCAGAAGTTGCTATCAGGAAACTCCAACCCATTTGAAGCAATGAATGACAACCCTGATATCACAAGACTGAACACTGACTCAGGACTCTGAGGTGATGGAACCGGGAGATTCAATTACTTTTAAGAAGCATGTTCAAAATCACTATTCTCACCAGCAGAAACTGGCTGCGCACTGGTTCTTGGACAACTTATTATCTCAAGAAGAATTAGAACAAGAAGTTCTGCCCGATAACCTGTGCTCTTACTACATTTCTGGGGGCAGACATTCCATGGCACTGCCAAAGGGGAGCTGGAGAAACCAAAACATTGTACTGCTCTTTACCTTGGTATCCCAAGCGACTCAAGGAAAGGAATTCTATCAGCATGATGTGTGGCGTTCAAGGAATGTTGGTGATTTTTCTCCTGGAAAGATGAAACAAAAAATCACAAGTAACAGGTCTTTGGAGGAAAGCATGTTATTTTACTGAAAATGAAAATGTTAGCCGTAGAATAAATCTGAAAGCTACCTAAAAGCCCCTAAAAGTTGACAGTAATTCATTTTAATCTCTCACTGATGCCTTCTTCACAAAAGGAAAGATGATTAAGATGAATTTGTGAAATTAAAACTCCCATTTAATTGTCTAAATATAATCTAAATGGTAGGATTTGAAAACACAGCCATTTACCTTATTACTCAAAAGGGGAGAACTTCTGTAAGGGTTTTGGAGTGTGGGGATCAGATCATTGTGAGGCCAAATGGCAGGAGAAGAAATGTAATGGACAAAGGAAGAAACATCCCACGTTAATTTGCTAGCCATTCCTTTACCATAATTTTTTGTCCTCCTTCTATTTTAATACGCCGATTTTTGGAGCAGTAAATATATTGAGAGATACTCATTGATCTTTATCAGATAATAAATGAAATATGGACAGATAATAAATTCATTAACAACCAGGATATAATTTTTGTTTGGCCTCAGCAACCCACAAAAGTGACAAACTTACCAAACAAGACAAGACTGCTAAAAATATGATCCTTTCTGATTCAGGTTGGGACTTTCAATTAATAAGTAAGAATATTCCATCAACCAAAACTCATACAGATGATGCTTAGGAAAATTTAGCCTCTGAATGAGATCTTATAAGGTGTGGCATCTTTTGGACTCGATGCTACATTATTTAGCATTAACTTTCAATCTTACTGAATTGGAAAATCATTAGTGTCACACACTTAATATAAATTACTACCCTGTTTTCCCTAGAAAATATGAGAAGTCATTTGAGGACATCTGTTGACCTTAAGGAATAAATTCTCCACCGCAGAAAAAGTTTAAGTAAAGAGAAAAGCAGAGAGGGGGGAAGAATTTGATAAAAGAAAAGAAAATACGTTTAGATAGGTATCAGGGCATATGCTGAGATTTCCTCTCTTTCAAAACAATCTATTGCTTCACAATTATACATATTGGGTAACACACTATGAAATTCTAAACCCTAGCCGCCAAGCCTTGACAGCAATGGGAGGGTATGTCCCAGGTGGGAAGTGATGAACAATTATGGCCAAGCAGTGATTCTCCCATCTAGCAAAAGGTTCTTAACCTTTTTGGTCTCATGGACCACTTTGAAATTCTGTTGAATCCCATGGACCCCTTCTCAGAATACTGTTTTTAAATGCATAAAATAAAAGTTGTGCAATTACAAAAGAAATGATATTGAAATAAAGACTTTTCCCTCATCCAAATTCATGGACACCAAGTTAGAAACCCCTGATCTAGGGTATTTTCTAGTAGCAGCAGTTGGCTAAGAAAGGTCAAAGGTCAACTATGATTGACCCATTCCCATCTAGGGTCCCTCTCCATCAGAAGGTACAGAGCAGTTCTAAAATGTGATTGTTTTCAGTAAAAGAATTTTTAACATCAAGAGACAAACACTTCTCACTTTGATTAAAAGTCACTAAGGAAATTTGCAAATGTTTCATGATTCCCAGTTTAATTGGTTATTCAAATTAATCAATGCTTTCCAATTTGTTAATTAATAAGGAAGAGACCCATGACACAGAATTCAAGAGTTAGTTGGGCCTAAGGAAAACAAACATTAACAGTGATGTGGCAGCATAAGCAACTACTCTGCTGGTAAATGGTAGAAAGAGAAATCACTTTGGTACCATGGTTAGCGGCAGATAGAAACACGATGGGGGGGGGGGGAGGCTTTGGAGACTCCAAGACCACGAGCAAGCAAAAACAAGTTTTTAGTCACTGGGAAAAGGCTGTTAAGGAGGCAACAAAGGGAGTGAAAAAACAAGATCTTCATAGTCATAAATATTCTTTTAAAATTGATAAAATAGGACAAAAAAAATAAAAGGAAGGGGAAGGATGGTTGCTTCAGACTCAATGTCACCCTCCCCCCCCCCTGGTAGTGCAAGTCAGTTTCAAGCAGGCATGAAGTAAGAGGTTAGTTCTACTCACTGTCAACGGGCTTGCTGTCACTTAGGAAAGGCTGTTGTTCCATGATGTCCATTGGAATTTTAATACTTGGAACTTTTTCGGAGTAAGGGCAGTCAGACTGTGGATGAAATGGGGGAAAAGGTCTTAGAATGCTCTAAGGACATCATCCCCCCATAGGATTCCACCTGCTAAATAGCTAAATAGGTGTAAATACATAGACATGCTAGGAAAAGAATGATTTTCTTCTTCTTTCTTTTCTGCAAAAGATGTTTTCTCCATCCCTTTGGTCAGAGGGGCCAAAGCCAAATCTTTTTTGAAACTTTTTCTTCATTAACCCACACTAATATATAAAGAAAAAAAACACACACAACACAGATTCATTTGTCACCTAAACTGTGTTGGAACTTTGAGTAAAGTATATTCCTCCCAGTTCATCGGTCCAGAGCACTGCACAAGGCTCTGTTACCCAAATAAATAAATGGAAACGCCTTCTTAGGAAATTTCACTACAATGCAGAGGACATAAGAAGCCGCTGGGGATTAAAAAGTAACACAGTCCTTGATCTCAGGAGGCTTATACAATATATGTACATGGATACATGTCATCCAGAGAAAGGCATGACTGGGGAGGGCAATTGGGTTTTCACACAAAATGCTCTAGGAAAATTTGAGGACAGCAGATCACTTTCAGCTAGAGAGATCATGCAAGGTTCACAAAGGGGGTGGCGCTTGACCTGAGACTTGAAGGAAAATTATAACTTTGAAAGGCAGTGATAAAGAAGTAATATATAGCCAGCTAGCCAGTAAGTCTAGTGCCCACATTGCTGGACTTGGCGGCAGGAAGACCTGAGTTCAAATCCTGCTTCACACACTTTCCAGCTGTACGCTCTTCACCTGTCTCACTCTCAGTTTTCTCATCTCTAAAATGGGCATACTGATAGCATCTGTTTCACAGGGTGAAGATCAAAGGAAGTAACATGTGTATAGTGTTTTACAAACCTTTAAGAGCTCCATGAATGTTAGCAGGCCATATTAGAACATCAAAGGACACTGGCCTAGGGAAATGGAGGGAGCTGGAAGACAGCAATTGAATTCAGGGCACTGCTCATAATCTAGTTTGTATTGAGTGTACCTTGCATAAAAAGGAGTAATATGAAAAAGGACTGAAAAGGTTGGAGTCAACCTTAAAGGCCAGGCCTTGAATGGCAGAGTAATTTTGAATTTGAAAAGAGATCTAAAGTAGACAGAGCACCGGCCCTGCAGTCAGGAGGCCTCAGACACATAGCACTTATTAGCTGTGTGACTCTGAGGAAGTCAAACCCCAATGGCTTGGCAAAAAAAAAAAAAGGTCTAAAGTGAAAAAAATACAACTCACCCACTCTCTGAGCTACCAAAACAGTAACATTTCCCTTTTATGTCAGAGGAAATTTGGACCAAGGTAAACAAAGAAAGAAATAATGTGTCTTGACTCAGGGCTACTGGTCACTCTAAATAGAGTAGTGAGAGCCGGTTGTTAAATTTCCAGTGTGAGCATTTACACCTCAAAAATTGGCAAATGCTATACATCAGGACTGCTGATCGTCTAGACTTCAAGAGGTTATGTGGAAAACGTCGATGATAAAGATTAAGCACAAAAGTTCATTGCACATACATTTCCCCTCCCCCCACCTCAGGTCTGGTTGTTAAACATTTACCAGCACACTACTTGGGAATGAGTCAGCCCATTCACTTAGAGGATTAAAATATTACCTCTTGCAACGACACAACAAAATAGATTATATGTATCTATATGTAGGGAAATACTGGGAAGAACTTGTCTTATTACAAACATTTTCCTTAAGACCATAAAAATGGCACAAAATGTTATCTTTCATGACCTTCAGTTACTGACAATAGACTAGGAGTTCTCCCTTCATTGCAACCTGCTCAGGAGACTCCAAAGGACAATGACGGCAGGCCCAAATACAAGAAAGCTGTGACTTCCACTAATAGTGCCCCAAACTAAGAGAGTTGGGTCCCTTCCTGTATTATAGCATGCTTGCCAGAAACTCACGTCAGTGCACAAGCAGCGGGACACACAGAGAGCTGCCCACTGGCCGCATTCAGACAGGCCCCTTTAAAAAGGGCAACGTGACAAAGGACAGAGGGGTAGAACGTAATACATTTACTTTAGGCTTAGAGCATCTTGCTCTAATGTGTCAGGCTTTACGTGGTCTCAGACTAAATATGTTTAATTCTTTAAAAAGAAAGAAAAGAATCACAAAATTTTAGAACTGAAAGAACTTAATCCAGTCTAAGACATTTTAAAAATCTTTTATCTCTAAGACCTCTGTGACAAACTCGGAGGACTGGAGATGTGGCATCATTCAAATATAAATATTTTGTGATGAAAGAAGAAACACTTTCACCATGAATGCTCCATCCTGGTGTACATTTCTTATAGAATAACTGGAAGAGATCTCAGAAGAACATTGGGCCCATCTCCTCACCTCTGAGCAGAATTGACCTCAAACTGCTGCAAAATGATCTTTTTCCTAAGTTTTTACAAAAGGAGATTCAACAAGCTTCCTTCATATTTTCACATTCTGGAACTCATAAATTCTTTTATTTGATCGTAGCCTTTTATAATTTCTTCTTTCCCTGGACTTATGACCCTTAATCTTCTTTAGCCTTACCATGTTCCCCAAGCCCTCCACCCCTCAGTTCTTTCCCAGGCTAGCATCCCTGTGATGCTTAGGCTTTCTTCCCTTCCCCATCTTGACTCCTTGGTTCCAGTTTCTCTATATCCTCTCTCCTATTTTCCAGGCCCTCGCCCTCTTATCCTATGAATGATTCCATGCTGCCAAGCACAGTCTTGGATTACTCCCACCATCCATGGTTTTCATTTCTACTTTTGTGCTGCAGAAGGAAACCACAAAACCATGCTGACTCCATCTGCTACCAATTTATGTGAACATAATTTCAACTGGGGCCTCACTGCTGCAAGGCAGTCCTTTTACATCTCCTGAACTGATTCACTGTTCCACTCACCATGGCAATATATCCAAATCTTTTCTTCTCTCCCTAAATCTCCCATGGCTCCTCCTTCCCTCACCCTCTTAGCTGAGAACTTGGCCTCATATTTCACTGAACACATGGCCGCTCACCAACAGCCCCTTCTTCTCTCTTCCTCTCATTTCCTATCACTTCCAAGTTTTTTCCTTACTATCTTCTCTTTTACCCCAGTCTCACATGAAGAGGGGCCCTCCTTGCCAAGGCCAACCCCACTCTATGCACATGAGATCTCATTCCATCCCGTTTTCTAGCAGATTTCCTCCTCTATAATCTCCTTTTTCCCAGTAGTTTTCAATCTCTCCCTGTCTATTGGCTACTTCCCTGTTGCCTATAAACATACCCATGTCTCCCACAGTTTCAAAAAAACCCCACCCCTGATTCATCACTCACTGACATCTATCATCCTATAGCTCTCTTCTTTATGGCTAAATGCCTTGGGAAGAGGGTCTGCAGCAGGGGCCTCCACTTCTTTCTCTCTCACTTTCTTCTTACCTCTCTACAGTCTGGCCTCAGCCCTTCTCATTCAACCGAACTGCTCTGTTCAAAGTTACCGACGCTCTCCTAATGGTCCCATGGAATGGTCTTTTCTTAACCCTCATTCTCCTTGATCTTTATCATTGCTGACCTCCGACTTCTGAATATTCTCTTGTCACTAGGTTTTCACAAGACTGCTGTGTCCTAATTGTCCTCCTTCTTGCCTGACCTCATCTTCTTCGTCTTCTTGACCAAACTCTCATAAAAGTCACACCTGTGAAGAGTGAATGTCTCCCAAGGCTCTCACCTGGGTCTTCTCCCTCTACACTACTTCACTTAGTGGTCTCATCAGCTCTGATGGAGTCAATGATCATTTCTGCATAGATGATCCTCAGAGCTATTATCCAGAATTTCCAAATGCCCATTGTATTGAATTTTTCAAACTGGATACCTTATAGACATCTAAATTCATCATGGATGCACTGAAGGCACTATATTTCATTCCAAACCCTCCCCTCATCCCATCTCCCCTATTACCAAGGGTACCACCATCCTCTTAGTCATCCAGGCTTACAATTTAGTTGTCACTCATACTCATCCCCATGTAGTCTGTTGCAAAATCCTACAGATTTTATCTTTCGAGGGGGAAGGAACTGGACGGTCAGCTCACTCCACTTTGCGCTTGCCTGGTTTCAGCTCCATGGAACAAGTTGCCTCCACATTAGATATCCCCTGGTATCCTGCCTGCTCACTCCACCCCATCCTCATTTTCCTGCCTCCTTTTGTGGCTCTTTCTTTAGATTGTAAGTTCCTTGAGGGAAAACACTGTCTTTCTTTTTCCCTAGTGCTTAGCCCAGTGTCTAGCACATAGAAGGAATGTAATAAATCGTTATTGGGTTGGATTGTACTTTGGTGAAACCTCCCATAGACGCTCCCTTCTTTTCTCTGATGCTGCTACCACCCCTGTGTAGGCCCTCATCAGCCCACATTAGGACTACTGCAATGGGCTGCTGCTTGGTCTCCCTGCCTCAGATATCTCCCTGCTCCAGTCCATTCTCCACTCAGATGTCAGGGATCTTCCTAGAGCACAGGGCTGGAGTGCTTCCGCTCGATAAACTCCGGGGGCTCTCCCTGCTCAGCTCCATCTCCTGGTTGTCCCAGCTAAAATTCTACCTTCTTGGGGCAGCTACATGCAGTGGATAGATCACCAGCCCTGGAGTCAGGAGGACCTGAGTTCAAATGCAGCCTCAGACTAGCTGTGTGACCCTGAGCAAATCATGTAACCTTGATTGCCTCAAAACAAAATTCCTACTTTCTCTGATGAACCTTTTCTGGTCCTTCTTAATGCTAGCACTTTCCCTCTGAGATCGTGTCCCATTTACCAAGCAAGTACAGTTATTTGGTTATTATTTCCCCCATCAGACTATGCACACCATGAACACAGGCATTGTTTTTGCCCTTTTTTTGGTATCCCTAGAGTAGTACAGTGCCTGGCACATAGTAGGTGCTTAACAAATCCTTGTTGACTTGGCTTGACTTGATAGCCCACTGCGGTGCAACACAAATTATCAGTTGTATTTCCAGCGAGATGTTTTTTAAGCTCCAGCACCACACTCCTGAAGAATGTACATGGGACTGCAGCAACCAGAGAGTTGTTATTAACCAAGTTTACATAAGGTCAATCCTATCTCATCTTGCACTCGCTGACAGCCCATTAGAGCTATATAAAGTCATGTCTTCCTACTCATCTGTGAGCAAAGTAAGCAGAAATTTGAGGATCTCTTTTGTAACAAATATATATATATACATACACACACACACACACACACACACACACACACACACACACACACATATATATGGAAAGAGAGAGATAAAGAGAGATAGCAAGAGAGAGCTAGCACAGAGAGACAGAGACAATGGAAGAGAAAGAGAGAGAGAGATAGAGAGACAGCAAAAGAGAGAAAGCTTGCTTCTAAAATGGCTGTGACTTGGGATGATCCCGAAGGGCATAATGTAGGAACAGCTCACCATGAATATGATATCTACCTCCTGACAGAAGGGCAATGGCCTAGTAATGCAGAATGAGAACTTTATTTTTGGACAGAGCCAATGCAAAGATTTGTTTTGCTGGACTATGCCTATATGTTATAAAAGTTTTGCTTTTCCTTTTTTTTTCAAAGATAGGTGGGGAGAGGGAAAGAAAAGGTTTTCTTGTTAATTTTTTAAAAGCCCAAACTTAATTATAAAGAAAAAGAGTCCAAGAATGGTCTCTCTGTGGCTGCCAGAGATTACTAGTATAATATCACTGTAACTTGGCTTCTCTTGCCTTTTTCAAGTCTCAGCTAAAGTCCCACCTTCTACAAGAACTCTTTCCCTCTGTGTCTTCCCTCTGAGATCATCTCAATTTACCCTGTCAACATCTTGTACGTAGCTGTTTGCATGCTTCTCCCCCCCCCATTAGATTGTGAGCTCCTTGAGGGCAGGGACTGTCTTTTGTCTTTCTTTGTATCCTCAGCACTTAGCAGACTGCCTGGCACACAGCAGGAGCTTAATAAATACTCGTTGACTCTATCTGACTTGGCATATCTATTTATGATAGATAAATCAATTCATTCCTCTGAGAAAAACAAATCACTTCTTTCCCAAACATTTTGAGGAGCTGTTAGGATAAACTGTGCATACTTCTCTTTTGAGTGTTTCTTAAACAAAGACTAGTTCCAGACTGCCTAATTACACTGACTAAACATTCCTTATGGAGCATTGGCAGCTCTAAGGGATGGTCTCTTCCAGTAGCAAGAGAATACAGTAACCACATCCCTTCTGCAAAAGGCAGCAGGGGACAGGAGAGTGACTTGGTCTATGGTGGGGGGGTGGGGAACCTGCAGCCTCGAGGCCACATGTGGCCCTCTAGGTCCTCAAGTGTGGCCCTTTGACTGAACCCAAACTTCACAGAACAAATCCCCTTAATAAAAGGATTTGTTCTGTAAAACTTGTACTCCTCTAAAGGGCTGCACTTGAAGACCTAGAGGGCCATATGTGGCCTCAAGGTTGCAGGTTTCCCACCCCTGGTATACCCTTGATCCCTGCATCTATTTTTAAGAAAATACACGTTCTAACGGCTTTTACCCCTCATCAAATGGTAACAAAATCTCAAATCAATTGATCCTAATTGGTCAGTAAACCACAAGAGAGATCATTCTCAAGTGAATTTTGAAGTAGAGACAATTCAAGTGCGTGCATAGATAAAAGTCACTCACTGTGCTCAATAACTACAATACATAGGGTGTCCCAAAAATCTTGGTGCAGTTTTAAGCCTCAAGAACTTCAGAAGCATAAATGCAACAAACTTGACAAAAGTGTCATTTAAAAGTTAACTTATTTAAATTTCTTTTACATTTACTGGGTTTTGCGAATTTGGGGGGATTAAAATTTTCATTTTAACAAGTTGGGGCACCTTGTCATCAGGCACTGTGTGTGTGACAGTTTCTGGATGACCTTTCTCGGTCCAACAGATTGGTAATGGATAACTCCTTAGTCATTTATTCTATCTCTATTAGACATTCTTGTAAGGGTCACGTCAAAATTGTCACAGATGCATTGAAACCTTGTTCTTTACATGATCTTACGACTAAGATTCCAAATGGAATCCAGTCACTGAGCCACAAGAACTCCCTGGCTTGCTTGATTGACGCCCCAACTAAAATCCTATCTTCTCCACAAAGTCTTCCCCTAAACCTCTTAATTCTAGTACCTTCCTTTGTCAATTATTTATTTCCACATATATACATGTGCACGTGCATGCATGTGGAATAGATCTGTACAGAGCAGAGGAGGGCACATATGTGTGTGTAGGTCATATACCATCCTCCACTCTGACTACGGATCTCCCTGGTTTCCATTAAGTTCTAACTAAAATCTTATCATTTCCTGGAAGCCTTCCCCAATCCCTTTTAATTCTGTCGTCTTCCCTCTGTTAATTATTTTCTATTTATTATCCTGTATATTGCCTATTTTGCATATATTTATTTGCATATCATCTTCCCTGTGCAATTGGAAGTTCCTTGAAGGCAGGAGATGTCTTTTCCCTCTCTTTATATCCCCAGTGCTTAGCACATATTAGGTGCTCAATATTAATTAACTGATAAGGGCATATAGACAAACTATATCTAGACATATGCACACACATACACATATAGATGTGTGTATATCTGTGATTTCAATGGTCTCTGAAGACATCCCCTTTCCATCACTGCAGATTGGCAACTTACAATTAATCCATTTTTTTTAATTGCCTGTGGGCATCTGGCTAAGTGACTTAGCCAGAGTCACATTAGCCAATAGATGTCAGAGAGGAGGCTTGGACTCTGGTCTTTCCAGGTCAGAGCCTGGCTTTCTCACCATTCACTATTCCATGTGGCTTCTCATATTTCATTATACTAATGTCGCCATAGCCAGAGATTCCAATCCTTAAGAGCTCACCCTTTCATCAGTCAGCAGTAACAAGCATTCATTAAGGGTATGCTAGACGTGAGGACTTATTTAAAGATTAAATAATAACAAATCAAATGCCTTTAGATTGTTATCAAACAAAGACTACGACAAAAAAAGAAAAGAGAAGAAACTAAATGCTGGGTAATTATAAAGACCAAACTTATCTCCAAGGAAGAGATGAGAAAAGACATCTTTTTCCCTTCTTTGAACGGGAGGGGCCCTATGTTGAATATATACATATATACATGTGTATGTATGTATACATATTATATATGCATGTATACATACATCTATTTATACATGTGCATATGTTTATACACAGACATGCATATATATGTGTATATACGTGCAGGCATATATGTGTGCACATATATACATCATATATATTTTTATACACATATATGCATACACTGTCAGACGACGGTGATAGGCAGATTTATTCGCCCAACTGCATTTTTTCCTCTTAAAAGGACAGCTCACTGGCTTAGAGGGTAATTCTACTCACTTAAAACCAACCATGACAATGATGAGGACACATTAATATCATGTTCCCAGGCTGTTTAGATGATCTCAGGAGCGACATATTTGGTAATGAAGATGATTTAAAAGCAAAACATATCAATACATTTTTTAAGTGTAAAAACTGATGTAACCAAGCAAATCCTATCTTGGGCTTTATATGCGCGAGCCCAGAGTTTCTCATCAATATGGCGGTAAAATAAATGGCCATGAAGTGGATCATTGTCGAAGGGTGTGTAAACTCTGAGGAACCAATGTAAACATCAGAGGGAGAGGAAGGGGAAAAATAGACAAGAATGAAGCCATTTGACAGACCTAGGTATGGTTTGTGCATTCTTGGAAACATATTGCCCTCTCCCAACACAGAGAAGAAACCCATTTTCCCCACTGATGCCTGGGCTAGCTTTCCTCTGGAAGGCTGGAAAACTTCTTACATCATCGTTGTCACTATCCAGACTGCCTTTCTTCTTCTTCTTTTTCTTCTCATCTTCTTTCTTTTTCTTGTCCTTTTCTGGAATGACATCATCAAGGAAACTGAGGTCATGCTGGGAAAAGAGGTAGTCCATGCCTTTTCTGACAGCTACAAGAGCCAGGATCTGGAATGACAGAGAGAAGACCGTCAAGCGAAGACTCTCTATGGCGTTGCTATCAATGGGTAGTGAGAGATGAGTATCTCGGGATGGACGAAAGACCTGGCTTGAAGCCCTACTTCTGGCATGTGCTAGCTGGGTGACCTCAGCACTCCCACACAGTGACAGGTCTTTTTCTTTGAAAAAAGAAAGACTTTGATGATAATTTCTCTCCCTTTCCCTGTCTCTCACACACACCCTTGTGCGCACACACAATCTTACAACACAAAAGCTGTTGATGTGGAAGAAAAGGTCAATTCTCATTGTGTATGTTTCTTTAACCAAACACAAGTGAAGGAGATAACACAGCAGTTCAGCAGCCAGGAGAGTGTGGCAGACACAAGGCAGACCTGAACTTGACCTTATGCTGGATACACGGTGCCAACTTCTTGCCAGGAATGGGGAGCCAAGGGAAAATGGGAAAGTCAGGGATGAATTTTGTAGGGATTGATTTCCCCTTCCATCATTTGGAGCTCATCAAAGAGACTTGATAGTTTCACTTTTGAACGGTTTAGTTTCTTTCATATTGGCGAGAAGACACAGAGCACCCAGGCTTCCTTTTGAACAGAGTCTGAGACAGTGGAGTAAAGGCAGCAGGAAACTCAAGGGCAGAGATTTGCAGTTGAGGCCCCTGTAGCTCATCCGGTGACCTCAGGCAAGACAGTACCAGTATTTCCTAACACCACACACGCACACACACACACACACACGCACACATGCATGCACACAACAGGAAATGCTTTCAGATGATTCTCACAGATCTCACGGCCACCCAAAGAGAGAGGTGTGTCTCTTGCCAACATAAAAACCACCCAATGTTGCAGTGTGTCACTAGAACTCATTTCAAAGGCACAGAAATTCCTACCATGACTGGAAAGATAATGGCGGCCACTGTGGACTTGAGGATCCAGAGAAGGGCCAGGCACAGCACCTGAAGGAAAGTGAACAGATGGACACGACGCAGAGGGACGTGGCGAAGATAGATGAAGTCAGGCTGGTGTTTGAGGGGCATCAGAAGCAGCTTCAGACGATCCATGAACTGGCAAGGAAAGGGAGAAGAACAGAGCATTAGTTTGGGGACTGGCACACAAGGCCAGCACCACTCAATGCCCATGGAAACTACCTTGACCAATCAACCAATCCACAAGCATTTATTAAGCACCTATGGTATGCCAGGCAACTGGCCTGGGAACTGGGGATACATGTACAAAGAATGGAGGGAATTTACTTGCAGGGAGTTTACATTCTAACGGAGGAGACAAGTGTATATATAAATATTATACATGTACATATGCACATTTATATATATAAAATGAATAAGAAGGGATTTTATATTAGGTAGTTTGAGAGGGAGGGCACTTTCAATTGGGGGCCAATAAGGGCATTATAAAGAAAAATGGGGCAGAAGGAACGAGGACGTGCCATCCAGGCACGGGGGATGGCCAACACTAAGCCCAGAGGTGAGAGAGGGAGTGAGGAGTATGAAGGAGGCCAATTTGGCTGGCCTGCAGAGTGGAGGAGGGGGAGCTTTGTTCCAAAAGCCTGGAGACACAGATTAGGGCCAGGCTGTTTATTTAGCTTTAAGAGCTCTAAACATGAGTTTAGAGTTCCATGTGCACCGTGTTCTCTCCGAGGAGAAAAGAGGTCTCTGGAGCCTCGGAATCATTTCTATTTCATTAACTCAGTGAAATAATAACAACAATTTACATATACGTATAAGTTAGCACACCATTTTAAGGGTTGCTTTACATAGATAATTTCATTTGCTCAACTATAATATCCACAAGTACCCTGCAATGTAAGTATAAGGAAAAGGTAGATAATGTAGTTCAAGGGCGGGGTGGGAAATACTAGGCTAGAATTCAAGGGACCTAGAAACTAATTCTAGATTAGTCAATGTATGACACTGTCATTCCTTTAGCTATACATCTGTCATCTCTAAGCTTTTGTAAGATTGATCTGTCCTTCATTACTGAATACAAACTGAAGTACCCTATTTTTCTTTCTTTCTTTCTTTCTTTCTTTCTTTCTTTCTTTCTTTCTTTCTTTCTTTCTTTCTTTCTTTTCTTCTCTTTCTTTCTTTCTTTCTCTTCTCTCTTTCTCTTTCCTTTTCTTCTTTCCTTCTTCTTTCTTTCTTCTTCTTCTTCTTTCTTTCTCTCTCTCTCTCTTTCTCTCTCTTTCTTTCTTCTTTCTTTCTTTCTTTCTCTCTCTCTCTCTCTCTCTCTTTTTTCTCTCCTCTTTCTTCTCTTTCTCTTCTTTCTTTCTTTCTCTTCTCTCTCTCTCTTCTTTCTTTCTTTTTCTTTTCTTTCTTTCTCTCTCTCTCTCTTTCTTTCTCTCTCTCTCTCTTTCTTTCTTTCTTTCTTTCTTTCTTTCTCTCTCTCTCTTTCTTTCTCTTTCTTTCTTTCTTTCTTTCTTTCTCTCTCTCTTTCTTTCCTTCTCTTTCTTTCTTCTTCTCTTCTCTTCTCTCTCTCTTTCTTTCTTTCTTTCTTTCTTTCTTTCTTTCTTTCTTTCTTTCTTTACTTCCTTCCTCCCTCCCTCCCTCCCTTCCTTTCTTTCTTTCCTTCCTCCCTCCCTCCCTTCCTTCCTTTCCATCTTTCTTTTCATTTGAGTCTTTTTGAGCAAAGTGACCAATATGGAAATGTTTTAGACGACTGCGCATGTACAGCCTTTGTAATTTTGGCTACCACTAAATAGGATCACAACATCCTCTTAACCCACCAGCAGACCGATATATACATATGTGCATGGTATTTCTAGCAGCTCAGATTGTGGCACTTCGGCATTTCCCCTGGTAGAATCTGGGAGGCACACTGTGCCTTTTATCCTTAGAGAATCCAGGAGGAATTCAGAAGAACCCAGACAAATCAAGTGCTGGTCTTCAGAGGACATCTGGGCCAGGTCAGAAAGCTCATCCGCTTGATAATAAGGGCTATTCACGCGGCACTTTAAAGTCTGCAGCCTATTTCATTCACATTTTCTTTCTTGGGCTCTTCAGCAACCCTGTGAATTACCATAGCTATGTTTACGCCTATTTGATAGACGAGAAAACTGTCCTTTTCAGTTTGTCAGAAGGAGACAAAGCAATCTTAACAGGGCACGCCATCTTTCTCAGTTCTTCTTTGTTGTCCCATGGCGTCACTCAGGAGAAGGCTGGTTCTTTCAGAAGGCCGTGTATTAAAAAGCGAGAACAAATGCAGCTCAATTTCTGCTGTAAGAGAAGCCTTTTGGGGGGGGCAGCTGGGCGGCACAGCGGATAGTGCTCTGGCCTTGAAGTCAGGAGGACCTGAGTTCAAATCTGACCTCAGACACACAACATGTACTAGCTGTGTGACCCCGGGCAAGTCACTTAACCCCAATTGCCTAGCAAAAAAACCCAAAAAACAAAAAACACCACACACACAAAGAGAAGCCTTTTGGGGGAAACAATGAGAAAGCATTCACATATACTTGGAGACCCAATGGCAGAGGCAAAATATTAATTTCCACTGTTAGTTCCTTCACAAGGATAAAACTCATTTTATTGCGTCAAATTCTATATTCAAGGATTCTGGTCACCGGTATCTTCCCAAACTTTCCTGGATGCCATAGAAACCAAAAACACACTGGGGTCTGTGGAGGGCCAGCTTGTCATTTAAACCCAAGGAACAGGCTGCTTCTAATACAAATGCTCCCCTCAATAAAGGAAAAGGCCAAATCCTTTGGCATCCTGACCACCTATCCAGAGCATGTGAACAACCCCATTCCACAGCAGAATACAAAAAAAAAAAAAGAAAAAGAAAAAAAATACTACAATAGGCTTCTCTCTTATTGGTGACCTGGCCACTCGCCCAGCTCCATCTGACTCCCAAACCAAACTCATATAAATCCAATGAATGAAAGAAAGCAAGGACCATTTTTAAGGGGCTCAAATAAATTCCTCTGGTGTTTGGAGAACATGCAGCCTTTTGTCGTTAAAACACAACTAAGTGCTAAATAAGGCTACAATTAACGAGGTGCCAGAAAGCGATAGAAACACTTCCAATTTCCTGCTGCCAATTAAATTATACCTTTGGTAAGAGAAAATGTTCCTTACATAATTTTCCCCCAGTGATTTTTTTTAAGGTGTTGAGTGAGGAGGAGGAAGAGGATGGAAAGTCAGCTTTACCAGATTACAAATAGCAATGTTCCCTTAGCTGATGCCTTAGACTAAAAGCAACAGATAAAGAACATTAGCTCGCATCTTTTATTTGTGCAAAACAGTTTGATCGTTGATCGGAGGCTATGGGAGAAGTAAACTGGTGCCCAAGGAGTCCTGCCTGTTCCCACGCTAAGGACGATACATCCAGCAGCAGCTGGGTGTCAGTGGTTCAAGATGGTCTGATTCCCTGCTGGGGAACACAGTGGAGGAAGGGGATGTGTTTCCTTTTGGTGACACAAGAATTACAACTTGGTTGCCTGCCTGATCCACTGACCTTTATGTACTTCATCTCCAAGAATGTGGGGGTATGATAAGCTTTGTAAACACAGGCCAAACATGATTGAGGTCTCAGGAATGAAAAGAGGCAAGATGAAGAAAACCTGGCTGTTAATGATTACCATTTTCCTTCAAAGGTTCTTTCCTGGAATACTCTTGTTATCACAAAAGCACTGTGTTGCTATGGCAAACTTACCTGCACACCATTAAGAGACGCGACCCCCATGTACAGGAACACACCGTAGAGTACAGGCATGGGAATAAACTAGGGAGAAAGTCAGAAAACCAGGCTTAGTAAGTGTTAAATGCCAAATTATCAAGAATGATTTCATGGTTTCTTTCAGACCTGACATGATTTCATCGGTTTAGGAAAACTCCTTCTCCCTGTGCCAGTCAGCAGCTTCCCTGCACCTGGAATTGCCTGAGTGTAGAGGGATGAATGACCTACCTAGGGTCACTCAGCCTGGACCAGAGGCTGGAGCTGAACCCAGGTCTTCCTAACTCCAAGCACAGCTCTCTATCCACTCCTCAACTGTGTTTCTCAAAAATGGCGTGTTAAATTGGAAGTCTAATTCCAACATAAAACAGCTACAGACAGGTAACTATTTATCAATTTCTACAATTATCACACACTATGTATAAATGAATGAAACTCTAAAACAGTAACAGAGAATCAAAAGAAAGAGTGACTTCAGGAAAAATTTCTTTTTTTTTTCTTCCAAATTTAATGCCAAAATGCTTTTCTCTTACAGAGGGACATTTTTACTTATTTTTTAACCAGGAAGGGTAAGACTCCTGATATAGAGATGGCAAAAAGGTAGCACAGAGGGAGTGTCAGAGTTATACTCTGTAAATCCCTCATTAGCACTGTTGTCCAAACCAGGAAGTCCAGCAAGGAACAAATATGAAAATTATTAATTACTAATAATAATTGCTAGCACTTATATGGCCCACTGAGCAAATATCATCTCATGTGAGATAATATATCTGAGAATAATATTTGAGAAAACATCACAAGAAGACTTTGAGGTAGGTGCTAGTATTATGCCCATTTTACAGATAAAGAAACTGAGGTAGATAGTGGTTAAGTGAATTACCCGGGGTTACATAGCTTTAAGCATCTGAGGGCAGATTTGAACTCAGATCTTCCTGACTTCAGGCTCAGTACTCTGTGCACTTAACACGAAGAAGCCTAGCTGCTTCTTTGCTTGTTTTAGCTTACTCACTGCAGAGTATACTGTGTGAGGTATTTCATAAATTAAGACATCTGAAATTCAGAGCAAATCTGTTTCTGCAAAGCCTATAGTCTGGACAGAATAAATAAATGTCTGTCTATATACATATGTGTGTGTACACATATATGCACATAAATCTGTATGTATATAAATATATTAAAGAAAGAATATATATATATCAATATATGAAGAAAATATATCAATATATGTATGCATATTATGGTTATATATGCATGTGTGTTTATATACATGCAATATGTATGTATATATTTTTCCAACATATTTAATGTATTTTTCAAATATACACACACATTTATATTAATATGAACTCTGTCTTTGGGCTCTGAACTGACGCAATCATATAATTCACTATCACAAATAGGAGATGTATAATGGTAGATCCAAGAGTTGGTTCCCACCAAGTATGACCCAACTAATGTGAGTACAGCTTTAAAAAAGAAAGAAAAAGAAAAGAAAAGAAAAAGAAAGAAAAGGTCCCAACCAAAACCAATATTTGGATTTTCCATTGATGTTTTCTTAAAGCAGTATAGTTCTTCTCCAACATAATGGATGAAATCCCGTTCCCTAGCTTCCTCTCCTGAGACTATCTAAAGACAATCCTGTATCTGAGAATCTGTGGCACCTTGCTGGAATTGAGCACTTATAAGTACCATTAGTGTGATTGCCTCTAATTTTAAAAGATTAGCCATCAAAATGATTAAAATTGTGCAAAAAGTGTTTGGATGCTTCACTAAAAAGGAACTGGCCGAAAACCATACTGCAGTTAATTTGACCTTAAACACAGAAAAGTGATTATATAGAGTACTTAGCTCATTGTGTTGGGGGGGGAAGAAATCTTCAGTGTATTGTAGTACCCAATGACCACCACAAAGGGGCGCACACAATACATCCAAAGTCACTAGAATCCTGACGGGTGTCTTCTTTGCATTTCTCCCTCCCTTGAAACCTACTGTGAACTATTAAAAGGAATAAATGAATGCTGGGATCACTTTATATGTCTCATTTTCTGGTTTATGAGGGACAAAAATAGAACACACTGATTCCCTAGCCTCCGCGGAATTTGAGAGTTTGGGTAAGAGCTGTATCCCTGTGCTGCTTCTAAGAAGAAATTCAAGATAACGCGGACCATGGTGTACATTTTCTGTCTGGAAAGCTAAACTTGAGCCTCACAATTATAATGATTTACTATTGTTAGAGTTTTGGCTTATTTGTTTTTTAAAACCATTGCTGGCTGTTTTTGTACTCAACACAAATTAAAACCAGAAACTCCATACTTTCCCAGTCAGGTGATGGCTATACTACCCAGGATACTGATTTCTTAGAAAACTGTGAGATTTTTAGCAAAGGGTCACATTCTACAAAGAAGAGCTGATCTCAAAGGCATGGAAGATTAGCGAAACTTTTCCAAATCCTGGGGTGCAGATTTGTCCTATTCAATTTGGCTTCCCTAGTATTCAGTCAATCAGGGGACAGCAGATCCTTTGTCCCCCTTTCCAGTTATTTTATCAGTCAATTTTAAAAACAAAAGAAAGTACTCAAGGGAAGGCAAAAGAATTGTTTGTTTGTTTGTTTGTTTGTTGTTTTTAAGGCCCTACTTTAACTAGTGAAAAACAAACAGGCTTTAAACATACACAAACCAAAGTGAAAAAAAAAAAACATGGAAATCTAAATTAGGCTGAAATATTAAAACAGAAAGTGCAAGTTGATATGATTTACAAGGTCAACTAGCATTTCCAAAAGTTTGAATCAGTCCAGGACAAAAGGGACAAATCCCCAGAAAATTAATACTTCACTGATTCATTTACTGTATAAATTAAGTTAAATGTAGATTAATGGATAAAGAGCTTCTGGGAACCAGAGTACTGGGTTCGAGTCCTGCCTCATACACACATTGCATATGTAGCCCAGCAAATCAGTTAACCTTTCACTGCTGTATCTAGCTCTCCTCCAGAGTTCTTAACCTGGAATCTATGACCTTCTGAGAGAGAGAAAGATAGAGAGAGAGAGATGGAGGGGAGAGAGAGAGAGAGAGAGAGAGAGAGAGAGAGAGAGAGAGAGAGAGAGAGAGAGAGAGAGAGAAACAGATAATAGACACAGATATGGTAGACAGATGATATAGACAGATTAGATAGATAGATGATAGATAAGAGATAGAGATGGCAGGTAGTCAGATAGATACACAGATAAGATGGCAGGTAGATAGATGATAGATACATACATTCATACATATAGATGTAGATTGACAAGTATATTTCAATACAATTAGCTTCCTTTGCAATGCTATATATTTCACTTTAGACATTTACAAGCATTGTTCTGAAAAGGGTCCATCAAAGGTATTCAAAATCCATGCAAAAAAGAGGCCCTACTCTAAGGCTCTGAGTTGAAGAGAAGGTTCCAATATGCATTAGTAGAAGATATTTCATCATCTGGGAGCCATCTATACCAATGAAATCACATTTCTAATCCCTTAGTTAATGTAATTTAAAAAATTGAAAGTAATTAAACCACCAACCCAAAAAAGTAACATTATAGTAAAGACAAGAATAAACTTACATTAAAAAAAAGTAATGCATGTGTCTTATGCAATATTTTGTACAAGCAAATGGTCACAAGAAAATCTCATTTGCAAACACCTATATGTATATGTGATTACATACTTAATATTACACAATAAACAAATATATATAATGTAGACACACAAGTATATATTTATATAAACAATGTGGGTGTTTATGTGTGTGTTTAGATAGATGAATGATAGATGAATGATTGTTAGATATAAATAGGTAAAAAATGGGTAGCTAGACAGGCAGGAAGATGGATACATAGACAGATAGATAGGTAGATAGATGGATGGGTGGATGTGTGAGAGAAAGAGAGAGACTACAGAGAGAGGGTAGAGGGAAGAGGAGACAAGAACAGAGGAAAGACAAGAGATAGAGAAAGAGGTAGGGAAAAAGAGAGAAAGAGAGAGGGAGGAAGAGAGAAAGTGAGAGTCAGAGAGAGAGAGAGAGAGAGAGAGAGAGAGAGAGAGAGAGAGAGAGAGAGAGAGAGAGAGTTGTATGCATTCTGCAACCTCCAAAGAACACAGACCTCAGAGAGAGACTACCTATATGAAAGGCTTCAGAGAAGTTCAGAGAAGCTTCTTTCTGAAAGGTTAAAGAAAAAGCCTTTAAACAAAGGGAAAGTGCCACACAGTTTTGGGAGCCTTTGCTGCTGGCTTGGAGACATATCTCATAACACAGCCTTCAGCCTATCCTAGGAGAGGGGTTAGCAGAGAACAGTGGAAACAGCCTTACACGGTCAATGCCTTCAAGGACAAGTCCCCAAGACCCTGTTATATGCCAGTGTTAACCACGGCACAGATAGAAAAACTATGTTTATCAAGATTCTAGGGAATTTAACTTTTTAACTCTGGAATAATACATCCCCCTCGATTATACAACACCTCGATCTTTGGCTTTCGCTATGGTGCAGTCAATAAGAGTCCAGCATCTCTTTTGGAAGTACATGGAGCCACACCAAAAGCAGCCCAGAAGGGTTTTGTTGTTTTGTTTTGTTTTTAATTGTTTCTCTACAGTTTAAATTCTGCCCACTCCTTTCATCTTGCAGTGGAAGCAGCTCAGAGTGGGTATTATAGAGGCTGTAAATATATGCTATTTCTTCTCAGGGCAAGGGCAGAATTTTGGATTTGGGTTAAAGAGACTGAGAAGCAAAGATCTAAGTAAGGGTGAGATAGAGAGAGGATGGTGACAAAGTTTAATGCTGGCCCCCTCAAGATTTACCCCACTGATGTCCAACTCAAATAGAAAGGAGCCTCTAAAAATACTTAAAGGGCCCAGCCAGTGCATATTACCTTATTCGCATCTATGGTCTATTGGATTTTTATTTTTTGTGTGTTTTGGCCACACTGGGGAGCGTTACAGGCTCACTTCTTCTGCTCCAGCCCCTGCATTTCTAGACTAATTACACAGTACTCTCCTCTATGCCCTGTGCTTCAGCCAAACTAGTCTTGCCATCTCGCTTGTGACTTTGCACGATCTCTCCCTCAAATGCAAGCTTCTCTCATTGCCACCACTTTGTGGAATCTCTACCTTCCTTCAAAACCTATCTCCAACATTATCTCCTTTCCTACACAGAGCCTTCCCTAGTCCCCCAGCTACTAGGGCCTCTCTCCCCAAACCACCATAGGAACACTCTGCATATACTTTATAGATAGATAGATGTAGACACAGATATAGTTTCATGTACACGCATCTTTCAATAGAATGTAAGTTTGCTGAGGGCAGGGACTGTTTCACTTCTGTCTTTACTGTCGCTGTTGCTGTTTGTCCTTCCTTCTCAAAGAAGGCCAATGATGTCACAAGAGCGATATCTCCACATGCATATGAATTGGATTTAAGTGCCAGGATCTAACACAGTGCCTGATGTTACTATGGTAAGAGTTTAATAAATGCTCATTGACTGATTGATAAAGTCACCAAATAGATCTTAAACGTAGGGTTTTGAACACAGTTTATGCTAAAACAACAAAAACAACTAATTCCATTAAGAGCCTCCAAATGAGCGGTGGACTGACTCTCACTGAAACCTGAAACATCACTTGCTTAGACTTATGTAACTAACTTTCAAAAGCTAGATCAAGACTTTCTTCTGTCAAGATCAAGACCTTCTTCTATCTCTGGGTCATCTAGCCTAAGTCCCTTATAGGATATAGTGGCTAAATCAACACTGAAGGAGGAAATCAGTTCTTAAACCAGTCAGCTTAGTTCTTAAATCCAGTCATTCTTGGCCCCCTCCTTGCTGTCCTACTGAATCAGCAATTGAAAGCCAGTGCTTCTCAGGCCATGGCCTTGACCAAGGCCATATCAAGAAGAAAGCTGCTGAACAGCAAAGATCTTGGGAACCTCCCATAATTCCACACATTCTTGTTCTGAAAAAGTCATGTTTCAGTCAAGAGAATCATGAACACGGGTTTCTTTTCAGATGTATAAGCAGATATGGTAAAACAGGTACTCGGGCTATTTAATTCATAGGAAAACATCAACAGGATCCTCTGAGGTCACCACATTTGAGAAGGAATGGAACTTTCTACCCGACCTGTTGAATATGATAGGGGTTTGCCTACATTTAAGGCAGAGGTTCTTAATCTGTAGGTCTTGAACTTGTATGTGCACATATATGTAAATGTACGTATATATATATATATATGTATTTATATATGCATATGTATATACATATATGTAGATTTCAAAAATAAATTTATTTTAGAATCCTATATATTTTAGGCACTTAACAATATTATATTTTAAGAAGGGGTCCGTAGTCTTTATCAAATTTCTAAGGGGTCCATGACACACAAAAGTTAAGAACTCCTCATTTAATGAACATTTTGTCTTTCCTATTGATCCTATTCCTATTAGCTGCCCATTAAGCAGCAAGATAACGGGGAAAGAATGTGGGGTTCAAAGTCAGAGGGCCTAGGTTCAAATTCTGGCTCTCTCTTATGTGACCTTGGCTGGACAAGTCACTTAAATTCTCTGGGTCTCAATTTCTTCATCTTTAAATTGAGGGGGATCAGCCCAGATGGCTCTGACCGTTCATTCTAGCTTCCAAAGCCAACATCCCATATGTGTGGTCACTGATACTGTAAAATAGCCGCAGGACTTTTATTTAAAAGTCATCCATTGCCTAGAAGAGAGTATAGTAACTGGGAGTCAGCTTCCTCACTCAAACATGATCACTGGAAGTTAATAAGTGACCAGGCCCATTGAGGCAAATGAGAAAGGTTAGATGTTGACCTTGACTTCTGCCCATTTGTTCCGTGAGTTTCAGTGCCTGGTTTACAAATGAACTCAAAAGTCTAGTGTTCTCAATTGGGCAGGAGGGGAGTTGGGAAGGGAGGGAGACAAAGGAGATGCTGGCTGATTAAAACAAATAAAATACATTTTTTTCAGTGACTTCAAAAGGAGTATGAGCACTCCTAACTTAAGAGTCTGGAGGGACACCACCACATTATTCCAAATCCACCTGACTTGATCTACAAGAAAGTTTCCCAAAGTCACAGCATGCTGAAGGCTATCCCAATACCCTAATCTGCACATTGAGAGATGCAATATACCACACTCTCTCTCTCTCTCTCTTTTTTTTTTTTGGTTGAGCGACTTGCCCAGGATCACACAGCTAGCAAGTTTTATGTGTCTGAGGCTGGATTTGAACTCAGGTCCTCCTGAATCCAGGGCTGGTCCTCTATCCATGAGCCACCTAGCTGCCCCCAATGTACCACTCTCCAAAGTGATATGGCCAACTCTTTTTCTGTTGTTTTAAACTTATTGAGGCTTTCCCCATGATATTTTGGTGTTCCTTCTTCGTTTTTCAGTGGACCTGTAATTTCATCTCTCTAGGAAACTCCCCAGGAAGAAATGCCTCCACCAAGGCAGGCATTCCGCTACAACATTCTGCTAGGAAACAAAGTTTTGTCCTGTCCAGGTTGAGTGATGTGCCCAGCCAGGGTCCCACGGACAAAAGCTAGACTCGAACCTGGGTCTTCCTGTGTATATTTCGTATAGGCAACGATGTGTGCATGTTGTCTGTCCTAAGGGAATGTTGAGCGCACACAGAAAGTGCTGTATTCTCTTTCTCTGTCTATTTCTCTCTGTCTTGGTCTTTCTTTGTGTCTCTCTATCTCTTTTTCCCTCCTAACCCCACCCCCTACCACACAAACATATGCCTTTATCCTTATCCCCTCATCCCTCATAGATTCATCATGGGACCAGAATGGTTTGAAATTAGGCTAAAAAAATCATGGGTATGAAAGACAGGCAGAGACAGAGACAAAGAGAGAGGAGATAGAGAGGGGGAAGGGGAGAGGGAAAGAGGAAAGGGAGAGGGGAAGAGGGGAGGAGGCGAAGAGGGAGGGGGAAGGGAAGAGAGAGAAGGGGCAGGGGAAGAGAGTGAAGGGACTGGGAGAGGGGGGAAAGAGGTGGAGGGAGGAGGAGAGAGGAAAAAGGAGGAGGGGAAAGGGAAAGAGGGAGGGGAAGGGAAGTAGGGAAAGGGAGGGGGAAGAGGGACAGCCAGAAAAACAGAGAGAATGTTTTTCGGTCTCCAGTGGTCAAGGTCCCTACTGGCTGGCAAGAGGAGGAAACAAGTTTCCTGAAGCAGGGATTTGAAGGCAGCATTGGTGAAAATGTGATGTGTCACCTCTTCCTAAAAATAGTAATTCACACAAGATCTGTTCTCTGTGTCCTTTTGGAATCATCCATGATAGGTCATCAAGCAGATTCTCCAGGATAGAAGGCCAAGCCCTGGAAACAACATTGAAACGCAAAACATTGCTTGGGGGTATTCTGACTATCAACCTGGGGCCTTGTCCCATCATTCCAGAGAAAGTTTATTCAGTCATAGAAAACAACAGAAAAATGTTTAGAATGGCCCCAGTTTGGCCTGCTAGAACATAAGCAGGAAATCTGTGACCATTTCTCCATGCACTAGTTAGCAGGTTACTCTCCATTAAAGACTCTTTTTGGTGGTATTCTGGAGTATTAGGGAGAAGAATGGACCAGGTCTCAGGAGATGTGTGATCCAGGGCAAGTCCTTTAGACTTTTTAGGCCTCAAATTCTTCATCCATAAAAGGAGGGGATACGTGACCAAAATATGTTATTTGTAATCACATTCCCAGTTGCTGCAGGCAAGGCCATGCCTCTCTCAACTCAAAAATATCAATTAAACCAGTCATTTGGCTTCTGGAGAAGAAGCAACAAGCGGATTGAATTTTGTGCTTTTCAATTAATTGCTTTGATGTCACGGAAAAACCAAGAAAAAACAAGCTGCATCTGGATAAGAGGTAAGAAGGGGGTTAGGGGATTAGGCTGAAGGTGCCAATCAATCCCCTCACTGACTTCAGATTTTTCCTTAACTTAAAACTTGATGAACTAGAAAGGGAAGAGGAAGCTGATTATATCTCAGCACAGATTCTCATTCTTCCTTAGAGACTTTCCCCACCATAGCTTCAGTGTTATCTATGCAGGTATTTGTGCACGCCATCCTGCAAACCTTCACAATGACTTACACTGAATTTCTCAATCTACCCTGTAATTTTTCTCTGCTAGAAGTTTATTTCTTAAGCTTTCTAATTATAGGCCAGTCATTTTCTCTAATCTTTCTTTGTGCAACTATCTTTGGAGCCAAAGACAGTGCTCCCACTGTCAGCAAGAACAGCTAATAGAAAAAAAAGAGGTGGTCCATATTGACCTGGACTCACCCCAGCTTCCTGGCAATCTAGAGGCTGGAAGGAGTGGGGGAAGGGAGGGCAGGTAAGGGGGTTGAGATAACGGACAGTATTAACAGAAGGCAATAAGGGGTGGGGAAGGAGGAAAGTGATAAGAGCATCATAAAGTGTGAGGGAAATGAATGGAAGTAAAGAAAGATCAAAGCGGGGAGCTAGAGCTTCCATCCCAGCTGGCCACATGCCTCAATATCTCTGTAAGCATTCATCCCAAACTTCCAAATAGCTGAAAAGGACTCTCCTTCTAATACATCACTTTATCAGTATTCTAAGAAGGAAGAAGAAGAGAGTATCTGGAATATTTACCTTCAAGATGGGAGCCATAAAGACCGACAGGCCAGTCAGAATAAACACAAGAGTTCCAGTGACTCTTTGTTCCCTGAAATGAAACCAAACGGTTACCTCCTGTTTTCACACGTACGTTCCTAGCTCCTTACTTCCCCCAAAGAACGTGAACCATTCAGGTCAATGTTGAATGTGGCTCAAATATCGTATTATTAATACCTTCAGGGCAGTGTACAAACTCAACGCCTAAAAAAAGACTACCAACTGACCGGCTCGTTAAACTGCAGCATGGGTTTGAAGGACTGATAGGATAAATGAAAAATCTTCCTGCTAAATTCTTTGCTCTTGATCGACAGGTTTGTGTATGAGAGACAGGAATGAAAAAAATCACTCTTGTTTGACAGTTACTGGCTTGTTTGTATTCATAATTTTTTTTAAAAGCACTTTGACCATCTACAGAATAATTTTTCTTTCCCAGGAGACAACTATGATATTGTCTCATATGCTGGCTGACAAACAAAAATAAGTCTGATCAGGTTCCTTTCCAAATTAGTGATACTTTTAAAAAATATCATTCACACCCAGAACCTTCTTCCCAAAGAATTGGTCCATCACTGCCATTTTGGCTAGAATGACTCCATTCTCGGGGCTCTACAAGCAAGCACATACAAGGAGGAACCTCTGGAAAGTATACAACAGGCATGATACAGGTCCTGCCTCCATGCCTTTAGAGTCACTTTAATTCAACTGGTCCAGGTCAGAACTTCTCAGTGGTGAGTTTCAAGGCAGAAAATTCCATTGTGAAGATGCTTATCAAGGGCCAAAATTCTGATTCGTGGGCAGGCATCAAAGCTTCATTGAGGTCCCAATAAAGCTAAAAGGTGGTCTTTCTATTCTCTCTAGGTAAATATGACATCCCTGAAATGTCCTCTGGAAAAATCAACCCCTTAGGACAATGTCCCATATTTAGTCTTTTGCCCTAAAAGGAAAATTGGTTAAAGAGTCCCAACCTGGGGTGAACTCGAAAAAGGCATCAATGACCATGCTGTGGCCAAAAATTAAATCCTTCCTAGAATATAACTTGCAGGAATGGACTAATCCCAACTGGCCTTTTTCCTAGCTTCAATTTCATTTGCTCAAAATGAAGAATTGCATGCATATGTGTTATGATCCCTGAAATCTACATAAGCATTGGGACTTCTTCCTCTAGCTTGGCACACCTGACTCCTAGAAACTTGGGTTGTTCTCCAGGTGCAGATGTCTCCGTCTCCATCTTCAAACTGTCAATGTGAGCAATGGAGATGACAGTAGCAGCCACATACCACGGGAGAGCCATGAAGGAACATATAATCATGAGAATGGCCACCCAGAAGAGATCCAGATGGTAGCCAGCTCCCTTCTGTAGAGAGGAGAAACAAAGTTATCGTCAGAACCAATGCCTATTGGGTGAATAGCCAATGGCCACTTGAAATGGAAAGCATAAACAGGGCAGGGGGAAGGAATAGTATATATGACTATGAAGAATTAAGAGAAACTTGGTTAGACTTATAGGGACTGATGCAAAACCAAATGGGGCAAGCCAGGAGAATGATTTACATGGTGACTGCAATAATGGAAAGGAAAGCCATGCTGAAAGACTTCAGAACTCTGATCCATGAAATAATCAATCACGAGTTCAGAAGACTAATGCTGAAACTCACTTCTATTCTCTAGGCGCTCTCCACTTCATCTCCTGCCTTTCCCCTCCCCACCCCTTCTCCCTCAGGCTGAGAATAACCTGCACCACCACCACCTCAGCTCCTTAGAATTCTAATCTTCCCTCAAAGTCAAGGTCACAGTCAAGGGCTTCCTCTTTCTTGAAGCCTTCCCCAATCTTCTCAATTGGTAGTGCTTTTCCTTTCCTCTATTTCCCTTGACCCTTTTTGCATATTCCCCTGGAGAAAGTAGGAAGGTAATAGCTATTTTAGCTTTGTCTTTGAATTCCTAGTACCTCGAACACTGTCTTTTTTTTTTTTTAAGCAAATTGTCTTAAAAACAGTTTGGAGAACTGAATGAGTCCCCTTCCTCCTCCTGCCCTTAAATGTGGAGGACATCTTTTTATTTTATTCTCTTGTTCTAAAACTACAATTTTTCTTAATGATTTCTTGTAATATTCCATAATAATAATACTGACATCTTCCAAGATTTAGTCTTTGACCCTCTACTCTTCTTTCTTAACATATTCTTCCCTTGGGTATCTCATCTATTCCCAAGTTTTCAACTACAACTTCTGTGCAGATGACCCCAAAATTTCTCTCTTCAATCCTGATCTCTCTTGAGGGCTCTGGTCAATGGTTTACTGGAGCTCCTCATACCAGCTTGTGAAAGCTGATTGTTAAATGTTCTATGTCGGCATTTGCTCTCTCAGAAATTGGCAAACACTATAAATCGGGGCTTGATTTGTTGTTTTGATGGCTGTCCTGACTTAGGAAAGTTAAGGACAAAATGTCAACTTAATCTAATTTAAAAGTGTGTCATTGTACTTTTTTCCCCTGGACAACAGGTTGTTAAACAATTACCAGCACACCCTGCCCTGCGTGCATTTCCAAGGGTCTGCTGGACATATGCACTTGGATGTCCCGACTTTACTACAAATTCAGCATACCTAAACTTGAATTCTTCCTCCCCTCCCCCTTCCTGATTTTTCCATTTGTCATGTTCTCTCAACTAACACAAGTTTAAAACCCCTGGAATCAATTTGACACCTTCAATTAGTTAAGCCACCTTCATCTTATATAATAGAAAGTGGAAAAAGTCCTGGACTCTGACAATGACTCCAGTGGTCCTGTATCTTTATTTCATCTGTAAAATGGGATTAATACTACCTCAAGTCTCTCCTAAGGCTCAAATGAAAGGTGAGTGAAATACTTTGCCAATTCCAAAGCAGTATGTGAATATCAGCAGTAATTAGTATTCTAATCCTTTTCTTCAGTTACTACTGATAGAAGTGTTAATGGATTAGTTGGATAACCCTTAAGTCTTCTCTTGTTCCAGCTAAATATCCGGTTACAAATTTCTTACATTGTAGATGCTCCCCCACAGACCTTATTTTCAAGTCCCTCAATAATCTCTGATAACATTTCCCAAGGCAATCCTGCTTCTTTTTATTTTCCCCCATCCCTATGCTGTTTATGTCCCCCAAGCTGGCTCTGGGCAGCTTCATTAGAGCAAAGACATCAAAGGACTGGGATCCTTACGTACAGCTTGGTGGCTCCTGTTTCTATCTGAGTTTGACCCCAATGCACTAGAGAAATGATTTCATGATGCAAAATGTTAGACCACTCTAATGCCTATTTGTCTGGTAAGCTACCTGTAGACAGTAGCATTGCTTTTTTTCTGCTCCTGGTAAGGTTAGTGTAGACCAAACAAGTGACATAAGTTTGAACATGAGGTTTGAGATCCTTAATATTGAAAGGTAACTCCTGGCTAACATCTTGTAGAAGACAGATTTTGGTTGGTGGTAGGAAATTCAACATAAAACCCCACGATGTGGGAGAGAGAGAGAATTCAAAATGGAGCCCAAAGAAGTAGGTTTAAGCCTTGGTTCTTCCACTTGTTACCTATGTGACCTTTCTGGGCCTCAGTTTCCTCCTTTGAATGATGAGGGGTTTAAACTAGATGGCCTCGAAGGTCTCTTCCAGATGTAAACGCTATGATTATGGGGGGGGGCACGCAAGTATTCTGGACTACTCAGATTGAGTGGAGTGACCTTCACAACACACAAAGTCAATGAGCACCATTTAGGACTTATGTGTGGGTGGTAACTCTATCTTGCACCCTGCTAAGATTTAGCTGTGGTCATGTGTGGTTATCCATCCCTCTCCTCCTCATTCTCCAGTTCCCAAAAGTTGTATAAATGTATGTCTGCATATAAAAATTCACATGTCTATATAGGTTCAAGCCCATCTGTTTACATAGCTCCTCCATTAGACCGTTAGCTTCTTGAGGGCAGGGATTGTCTTTGGCCTCTCTTTGTATCTCCAGTGCTTAGCACAGTGCCTGGCACATAGGAGGTACTAATAAATGTTTACTGATTGACATATAAAAAGTACTCAATGATGTTGAACTGAACTGAATTGTTAAATCAGAAAAATAATTCTCATCGAGAGCTAGGGAGGGCTAGAAGCCTGGTGGATAGAGACGTGGGGTCAGCTACACCTGCGTTTAAATCCTGTCTCAGATACCTGCTAGCTATCACTTAATCTCTTTTTGTCTCAGTATCCTCATCTGTAAAATTACAAAGAGGATTGAATGAGATAATATATGTAAAGTACTTTTCAAGACTTAAAGCTCTCTATAAATGCTAAATATTAATATTATCAAAGGTTATCTTTATCTCCCTCCTCCCAACCCTCCCATTGTGCTCACTGGATCTTCCATTATATTAACAAACTGCCCTCATAGTAGAATTGTACCCTCCTTGCCTACCCCTAGAAGTACTTTTATATATCTATATCTACACCTACATAGATTATCTATCTATCCATCTATCCATCTGTCTGTCCATCCATCTATCTATCTATCTATCTATCCATCTATCTATCCATCCATCCATCCATCTATCCATCCATGCATCCATGCATATCTCTCTCTCTCTATCCACCCACCCATCCATCCATCCATCCATCCATCCATCCATCCATCCATCCATCCATCCATCCATCCATCCATCTATCCATCTATCCGTCCATCTAGCTAGCTATCTAGCTAGCTATCTGCTTGTATGTGTCCATCTTGTGTCCCTCAATAGAGAGTGATCTCTTTAAGGCCAACAACTGTTTTAATTTGTCTCTGTATTCCAAATACTATACCTAACACATAGTAGATAGTTAATAAAAATGCTTGCAGAACTAGACCAAAGGACCCTCTAACAGAGTGCTAAATTACTGCTGAATAAGCAAAGCTGCTCCTCACTTTGGAAAATAATTCTGATTGGACTGGGACAAGTCATAAAAATAATTAATCACCCCTGAATCGAAATATAACTAGCTTAAAACAACATCTTTCCGTGGTCAAAAAACAATTTCTGACTGGAAAAGCAGACAATCTAATACAATGTCTAGTTTTTTTACTCCTTGAATAAATATTTTAAACTCTTCTAAAGTGTTATTTCGCTGGTTCCATCTCTCCACTTTATTTATAAAGAAATCAGATCCTGAACACCCCTATGGAGGCTGTGAAAAGGGAACAGCCGATGGGCACAGCATGGAAGGGATAAAGGCAACAGCCGAATGGGAGGGCCCAGGAGAAGGCGTGGGAGGGCTGGCTCCAAGGCAGGGAGATGATGGTTTACACTGGAAGCCAAGCAACCGCGATCCTGGAGATTTGGTTACAGCCAAGTAGAACATAGCTCTCCTTTCAGTGGGACACCAGGCCTTCACGCACAGGGGTCTGGAATACCATGTGCTCAGAGAACATATTTATGGACAAGTACAGCCTGGGCTACTCTGAAGGGTAGGGGGAAGGACAACTCTGTCTCATGCAACTTTTCATTTTGTAAGTGGCAAAACTGAGGCCCAGGGAGCCTCCATGACTGAGGATCACAGATTCAGAGCTAGAAGGGAACTTAGAGAACATCTAATCCAAACCCTTCCCTCTGCAGATAAGGAGACTGAGACCCAGGAAGGTTAAGGCAAATCAACAGGAATTTGTTAAGTATTTACTATGCATCAGGAAGGGCAGCTAGGTGACTCAGTGGATAGAGTGCCAGGCCTGGAGTCAGGAAAATCTAAGTTCAAATCCAGCCTCAGACACTTACTAGTTGTGTGACCCTGGGCAAGTCACTGAGCCCTCTTTGCCTCAGTTTCCTCATCAGTAAAATGAGCTGGAGAAGGAAATGGAAAACCACTCCAGTAGCTTTGCCAAGAAAATCTCAACTGGAGTCAGAAAAGTAGGACACAACTGAAAAGGACTGAACAGTCAATTCTGACCTATGTCTCAAACGCTTCATGATTATTTCTGAGTTCCTAGTGGCTGGCACTTTATAGACACTCTATAAATGCTTGGTGAATGGCCAGTTGGGTGGGAAGGACCCTAGCTCTTTCCCCAGGGGATAAATGTATTGACAGTAAACAAATCCGGTTGGGAAGAATGGCCAGACCAGTTCACGTCACCAACTTCCATCAATAAGTCAATGTCTCCCTTGGCCCCCCTGAATGTTTACTTGTATGTAAAAGATAGTGACTATAATATGAAGCTGAAAAAGGGCTCAGTGACAAAGGGAATCCCAGATGGGGAGACATCAGAGCTGTCCTTCATGCCAGCTACAAGCTGTCCCCTCTGAAGGACTCCTCCTCCTTCCTTTCATGCTAACCATTCTTGCTCTTAACTGTTTGCTAAATCAATCACAAGAGCAGTGGC